GTTGAGAGCGATAAATTTGTACTTACTAAGAATGTGATGTATGTAGGAAAAGGTTACATGTCTGATGGTCTTTTCAAGATGAATGTAATGACCGTTGTACCCTTAGTTATTAATAAAAATACATCTTCTTCTTACTTGCTTGAGTCTTCAAATTTGTGACATGGTAGACTTGGACATGTTAATTATGAATCTTTGCGTTAATTATTATGGAATGTTTACCTAAATTTGACATTGATTCAAATCATAAATGTGAAATTTGCGTTGAGGCAAAATTATCCAAAACTCATTTTCATTCAATTGAAAGAAGTACGGAACCACTTGAATTAATTCATAGTGACATTTGTGATTTTAAATCAATTCAAACTAGAGGTGGGAAAAAATATTTTATCACTTTTATAGATGACTATACTAGATATAGTTATATTTATTTAATTCGAACCAAGGATGAAGCTTTGGAAACTTTCATTCAATATAAGAATGAAGTTGAAAATCAACTTGGTAAGAAAATCAAAAAACTAAGAAGTGATAGAGGTAGTGAATATGAATCACCTTTTGGTGAGTTTTGTAAAGAACATGGAATAATTCATAAAACCACCGCTCCTTACTCACCTCAGCAAAATGGAATTGCTGAAAGGAAAATTAGGACTTTAAAAGAAATGATGAATGTCATGTTAATAAGTTCTGGTTTACCTCGGAACTTGTGGGGGAAAGCAATACTTTCTACTAATTATTTTTTAAATAAAGTATCCCGAAAGAAAGTGAATCAAACACCTTATAAATTATGGCATGGGAGGGTACCATCCTACAAATACTTAAAAATGTGGGGATGTTTGGCTAAAGTGGCTATTCCTAGTCCTAAAAATACTAAAATAGGTCCTAAAACCGTTAATTGCATTTTCATTGGCTATGTCAAGAATAGTAGTGCATATCGGTTTTTGATTTATAAATTAGAACATACCGAAATGCATGTAAATACTATTATTGAGTCTCGGAATGCATCATTCTTTGAACATGTATTTCCAAATAAGATTGGACAAAAGACTAGCACTAATAAAAGATCTTTTGATGCTATTACTGGTAATGATCAAGAACAAGATCAAGAGCAAGAGATAGATCAAAATGAGAAAGAGGAACTTAGGCATAGTAAACGTGCTAGAACCTCAAAATCTTTTGATCCAAATTTTTCAACATATTTGTTAGAAAATGAGCCTTTAACTTTTAAAGAGGCTATGTCCAGTCTTGAAGCGCCTTTATGGAAAGAAGTTGTCAATAGTGAAGTTGAATCTATCTTGCAAAATCACACTTGGGAATTAGTGGATTTGCCACCAGGTTGTAAACCTCTTGGATATAAGTGGATTTTCAAAAGAAAAATGAAAGCGAATGGATCAATTGACAATTATAAGGCAAGACCTGCGGTCAAAGGGTATAGACAAAAATAAGGTCTTGATTACTTTGACACATACTCACCGGTTACTAGAATAACATCTATTAGAATGCTAATTGCCATTGCATTTCTATACAATCTAGAAATTCATCAAATAGATGTGAAAACTGCTTTCTTAAATGGTGAGTTAGATTAAGAAATTTACATGGAACAACCATAAGGTTTTTCTGTTCCAAGAAAAGGAAAGAAAGTGTGTAAATTGGTTAAATCATTATATGGTTTAAAACAAGCGCTAAAGTAATGACATGAAAATTTTGACAAGGCAATGATGTCAAATGGATTTAAAATTAATGAGTGTGGCAAATGTGTTTATATTAAAAACACAAACAAAGGTTATGTCATTGTATGTCTTTATGTGGATGATATGCTCATCATAAGTAGTAATAATAACATGATTAAAACTACCAATAAAATATTAAATAAACATTTTGACATGAAAGACATGGGCATTACTGATTTAATTCTTGGTATGAAAATTACCAAAACATCAGAATGTTATGCTTTGTTACAATCTCATTACATTGAGAAAATATTTGACAAATTCAGCAAAGGTGATGATCATCTTGCTAGAACGCCTGTAGATGTTAATTTGTTTCTATCTAAGAATGTACAAGAAATTATTTCTTAATTAGAGTATGCCCAAATTATTCGAAACTTAATGTACTTGATGGACTGCACTCGCCCGGATATTGCTTATGCAGTAAGTAAATTAAGTAGATATACGAGTAATCCAGGAATAGAACACTGGAAAGCAATTATAAGGGTTCTAAGATATATTTGCTTTACTCGTAACATTGGGCTGAATTATACTAGATATCTTGCAGTACTTGAAGGATACTATGATGTAAACTAGATATCAGATACTAGAGACTCAAAGTTCACTAGTGGGTATGTCTTTACTCTTGGTAGAGCAGCTGTATCTTGGAAATCTTCCAAACAGACTTGCATTGCTAGGTCTACTATGGAATCAAAATTCATAACTTTAGACAAAGTAGGGGAAGAGACAGAATGGCTTCACCACTTCCTTGAAGATATTCCAATATGGCCAAAACTAGTGCCTGCTATATGCATGCATTGCGATAGTCAATCAGCAATAGGTAGAGCACAGAGTCATATGTATAACGGTAAGTCATGACACATTCGTCGTCGACATAACACCGTGAGACAACTACTTTCTAATAGAATTATTTCCATTGAATATGTGAAGTCTAAAAACAACATAGTGGATCCACTAACCAAAGGGTTAGTAAAAGAGTTAGTTGAGAATTCATTGAGGGGAATGGGACTTAAGCTTATTAAATAAGAGTTACCACAACGGCAACCCAACCTAGTTGACTGGAGATCCCAAGATCTAGATTTAAAGGAACAACCGAGTTGTGAATGACTTAGAAGAATCACTGGGGAGTCCAATTCTTACCCATTTCTAAGATGAAATAGTGATGTCTACAGCGTTTTAGGTTAAGTAAAATTTTAATGATTCTTATATCTGGGTAAACCTAGTGGAGTATAACAGGATACTCTTCATAAGAATCACCTATGTGAGTGTGAACTAGGCCAGTTCTATGAGATTTGTGAAGGGCTACAATTCTCTAGAGTCTCATGATAGACCAGGTTGTTCAGGGGCAAATTGAACACAATAGTGAGAACTAAACTGTGTCTAGGGATATATTGTGTAAGTTCTATTATCTTGGTTTACACAAACGGCTGAACAGTTCAAGACATCATGTTCACTGGTTAGCTAATAAATCCGATAGTGTGTCACAAGGAAAGGTTCAAAGCCAAAAGCTATCTATCCTTTGCAGAATATTTTCAATTTATGTACTCTCTGTAATTAGATCATATTGTTGCATTTTCTCTTCGTCAAATTCCATTCATGTGGGGGATTGTTGGAAAATAGGTTTTATATATGCTTATTTTGGGTCATCTTTGAGCCCAAAATTGAGTGGGCTCCAAACGTCTTTTGGGATGGGTCTGAAAAGGTGACGTGTTCCTTGCCACATGGCAAGCCACACGGTGAAGACGATTTGTCAAATCCATTTATGAGTGAATGGGAAGTTGACATCGTTTTCGGATTCATGGAATTGGACATTTAAGTTTTAAATGTGAGTTTCCTTTTGAGGCTTGTCCCACATTGAAACTTGAAGAGAACTTATGTGTGTATATAGGTTCTAGATGTACAACCTTGGGTTGGGCCCCAAGGGGCACCTCAAGTTTGTAGAAGGGAGGAGTTATGGACAAATGAAACCTTAACCCAAACCACCACACGCACGCGCGCATGCCGCCGTTTGTCCGTCCGGCCATACCGGGCGCGAGTGTGAGTTGTGGGTCAGGTCGGTTCTAATATTAATTTTTTGGAGAAAATTTATTTGAACTTTTTCCAAAAATTCTTAACAAAATTAATTCAATTTGAATTTATTTTTTCTGTCCATTTGTTACTTTTTCCAATCCAATTTTCCAAACAGATCAAACAGTCTAAACAGTTTTGGATCTGTTGAAACCTAAACAGTTATAAAACTGCCAGACAGATTTAAATCTATCCAACAGTTACCAACAGATAGAAACTGCTGCAGTTATCTGTTCATTTTTGAACTGCACATGTTCGGTTTGAATATTAAACCTATTCGATCCTATTTATACCTAGGTTGTTCCAGCATTTTCCCAATCCGAAAATCAGTCTGAAATTTATATTTTTGCTGTCCAATTTTCTCCTTTGCATTATTTATTCTTCATTCTAGTTTTAGAGAAAATTAAAGAGAGTATAGAACACAAGGTTCTAGTTCGCCGGTCAAATTTGTTTGAAATGCTATTACAAATTTGTGAAGATCATTGTATCCTGGGAGATAGATTCCACTTAACCGTAAGCACCGTAGCGAGGCGAATCTATCTTAAGGACAGAATGTCACACACTCGACTTGGTCTTTAATTTTTCATTCGGTTCAATAAAATAAATTCTATAAGTTATTTATTTTCTTTATTTGATTTTATTTCAATTTATTTATTGTATGCAAAAGATTGTTCCTACAATATCTTCCTATCATCCTCAGGATTCAAAACTGGTAACCATCTTCCACCTTGAGAGCCATACTTGCAAACTCAAACTTGTTTCCATAAAGCTAAGTCATGAGACCCAAAACCCCACCACCATTTTAGTAACAAATTTTCATAAACCTCCTTAATTCCCCGGACACCTAACCCTCCTTCCTTACAAACCCTCCAAATGAAATGGCAAGACATAATGTAAATTCTATAACTTAGAGTGTGGGGTCAACTTTTGAAATTTTACTTGCAATTAGTGAGAATGAAACATTTTTCTAATAATATATAAAATCATATATTTTTTTGACTTGTCCCCATGTATCACGAAAAATTATTGGTTGGTCCAGGCGGCACCATGTGACCATGCCCTTTACCAATCACAATTTATCATGTCCTCTCATGTTGTCCAATCATTCAATATAAATTCGTATGCTCTACTCCCTCCACCAATCACAACACTAATGGGGCATCACGTGGCAGTACCCAACACCAACCAATAATTTCTTATATATCACTGGGTATAAATATATGCTTTAGTTTGGATTTAGGCTCCAAAGTTGTCTGAGGGTTCTTACATGATGGGAAAAACCATACAACTTGTTTTCTCTCTCTTCTTTTTCTTTATAGTTATTACAATAATTTCCTTGAGAGGAACGGCCATGGCACAGAGCACAACAAACATAACAACAGTCCAAGTAAAGGTAGGAGTGGTTCTTGACATGAACACTTGGGTTGGTAAGATGGGTTTGAAGGGTATCTCCATGGCCCTCTCAGACTTCTATTCATCTCATGTTCATTACAAAACCAGACTGGAGCTCCACGTCAGGGATTCTAAGGATAATGTTGTTGGTGCAGCTGCAGCAGGTCTCTCTCTCTCTCTCTCTCTCAAATATAATTTATATATAGTTATATATGTATAATCAATAATTAATACTCTTAATCCTAGTAGCCTCCCAAGATAATCTTCAACCTGCAGCAAGTTCAATACTGTATTAGGAATGGGGGCTGAGGGATAGTGAGCTCTAGTATGCTGTGGGCTGACTTCTTGTAGTCTTGCTAAGTTGCTCTCTGTTTTGTTGCTGCTATTTGTATTGGAACCTGCTGTGGTGTGCATATGATTGATCTTGCGTCCGGTGTCAATAATCAGGATGCAAGGTTTTGACAATTTTCATAGCCTTTATGTTGTATGCTTATTTTATATTAATATAATCTGTTTTTCTGATAGTTAAATTAAATTTAAAAAAAAAAAAAAGGAAAGAAAGGACGATGACGACGAGAACAATAACAGAATGAGCCTTTATTTTAATAGGCTTTTCAAAAAATAGAGCCTTCATCAGTTAGAATTTTTATATTTGTTTTTGGAAGCCTTAGGTAATAAGTGAAGTGACTTAATGATTGAACCTATTCTACTTAAAACATGCTTAGATATTGAATTTATGCAAGAAAAAAATAAAATGCAAGTTATATTTAATTTATTTTTTCTTTTCAATTAGTTCATACATTTATGATCAGTTAGTTGATAATGGTCGTTAAAATCTCGACCAAGAATTTACGATCCTACGATTTTACGATCTATTTGGGCACAATTGATCCGAATCGTGTAAAAAATCCTTTACAGGTAGGATCTTTTGATCCTAATAATTGGATCTTATAGAATCATAAAATCTTAACCAGAATCTGATCCTATCCGATCCAATTTGTAAGCTTTATTTTGCATTATATGATCCATTTTATTGTAAGTTTTTATGTTCGTTACCTAAATACCAATTTATGTGGTCCAAATGAATAAATAAATAAAAAGGTAATATTGAATCAAATATATTAAGAAAAACAAATTAGGAAAATAAAATTTTAAAATTTGTAGTAATTTAAGAAAACTAACTAATCAGAAAAAAAAACTTAACTTTAATGAAGTCTGAGGAGGGTAAGATATGTGCAATTTCATTAAAATTTTCGGAGAGGCTTTTTTTGTGATCTACTTCCCCAGAGACGCTAATAACAAACCTTACCATTCGTTACCATTCAATTAAACCACTCTTTTGAGTTCTCAAGCTATTTTCATATATCCAATTTTGTTAAATATTTTTTAAAAAAAAAAGAAATTTTATGCATTATTTTGCAAAGTGTCCTGTTATAAAATTTTTATTCTTCACCTTTTTTTAATAAAATGTAAAACTTTTACCATTGAGTTTTCTATTGTATAATATTACATTTACATTTTACATGAAATATTATATTTTTCATAATATCTTCACTTCTTTTTAGTATAAATTAAGCTCATTTTGTATGTATTTTTAAGATATGTTTATTTAAATTAAATTATTTTGTAATTTGTCATTTTCGGTAGGATCTTACGATCCTCGTTCTGATCCTGTAAACTCTTCCAACGATTCAATGTAAGATCTCGATTTTAATAACCTTTGATACACATTACATATATATATATATATTTTAATGCTTAAAATAAGCCATTTTATATGACATTTTTATCAGCTTTTGTGTAACCTTCCCTCATTTTTTTTTTTCATTTTAAATGATTTTATTTTAATTTTGAGTAAAACAATTTAGCGTTTGATTTTGAAATCAATTGTGAAAGATTAGTTTTTGAAAAGAGTTTTCAAAATTCAAAATTTTGTTTGGTTTTATATTTTGGAAATCGTTTTGTAGGTGGAGTTCATTAATTTGGGATGAATTATAGTTTAATAGATGGGTGTGAGAGAAAAAATTATTGATTAATGTGTAAGATATGAGACAATGAGAGAGAGGAGAGAAAAAAATTATTGATTAATGTGTAGGATGTAAAAGAATGAGAGAAAAGATAGAAGAAGTAATTGAAAATATTTTTAAAAAATTATAAACTAAACAAATTTTGAATTTTGAGCTCTAAAAAATCCATTTGAAAACTTAACAAAACACAATCTTTCTTTTTAAATCCGTCTAATAGAAAGTCAAGGTCGTTTTATTTAAGTATTTTTTTATATATTTAAAATTTAACCAAACAAATCAAAGTAAAGTTTCAAGACAGCGATGTAATATAACTAAGACAATAGGTAACTCTCATAGAGGTCACACATTCATCAGAAATAGCTAATACGATATATACAAGGCTTGTTTGACGTTTTGGAATGTAATTAATGCAATATTTTTATAAATCCAAGAAAAAATAGAAAAAATAAAAACAGAAAATTATCTCACAAGATATTTTTTTTTAATATTCTTTTTGTGAGTGCATAGATTTTTGTGAATAAGGCTATGTTAAAAATTAGACAAAAAATAACACAATCACGTGATATAAAAATATTTTATTACATATGTTCACATCATTGACATAAACTTAAATTTTAATATAATAATATATTTTTTATATTATATGATAGTTATTGTGATATTTTTTGTCTAATTTTAAAAATACTTTAGTTTAGGAGCAAATTAAAATAAATAAAAAATAAATAAAAAAACTTTACATGAGAAAATGACCAAATATAAAAGGGGCTATCTTGGTCCATCATCCAATGCAGACAACTTAACAATGCCCCACGCGTCTTCTTCTTTGGCAAATTCACAATAAATTATAGGGAAGAATTCTTTCATGTTGCTAATTCAACTAGGGAGTAGGATTCTCTATACTACTTTCTTGCAATAATTTTGCATGATCTAGAATGGTTGTGTTTTAAGCTTAAATCATCTACTTAAATCATAATTAATTATGTTTTGAACTTAAATTACCTACTTAGACTAATATTGAAAGATTGTTACAAGAAAGATTATTGTGGAGAATTCTATCCCTTTAACTGGAGGGTACTAGTTGACTCTCTCTGGAGTTTTCTTCCATTTTGCAATATTTTTGTAATTCCATCATCAAATAAATTTTACTTTTATAAAATGAATGTCATGATTTTGAAAATAGATTGACTATTTTTAAGACAAATGTGATTTTCAATCATATGACTATAGTTGTTCAATTAATTCAATTTTATTTGTTTATTTATTATTTTTCAAATAGATGATCGTTTTGAATAACCTTATAAGATGAATAATGAAGACCATAAAATAGATTCAGTGGTAAATTTACTAAAAGCTGTTGGAGATTCCAACTAGGGAGAATGTCAACCTTAAATTATTAAAATTATTATTATTAGATCAGCAAAAATTAATTTTTTTATTAGTAAAAGAAACTTTTATTGAATAGGAATCAAAATGAAGACTTGCATCATACATCAATAAATGGAAAAGCGGAACAAACGGAATCATGTTATAAATATCGAAGCAAAAATCTATGATTCCAGCTAAGTTGGCACCAAAATACTACACAATCATCTACCAAAGATACTACACAATCATCTACAGCACAATTCCTATGGTTAAAGAGAATTCAACCATGACAACCATTACAAAGATCACCTCCTGCCTAGAAAAACCCACAACAAACAGATGGGTTATTGATAATTGGGTCAGATTTGACCCGATCCATTACCTGTGAAACTTTTACATGGATTATTGATAATTCACATATTTAAATAAGATAATTAGAGGGCTTATCTTTAGAAGGTGTTTGAGTTATTGTGAGAGATTATAACTCCACTTCTATCAGGAGAATCTCTATATATTTGATATAAAGAAAATAATATACGTAATATTGTTGTGGGAGCTTTACTCAAAAAATCTCTGCAGAATTTCTCTCTTTGTTCTTCCCTTTTAGGTACCTAGGGATTTGGAGTGTGGATAATACATTGAGAAACTCTGGTAGCTTCTCAATTGAAGGCGAAGAGTTTTTCGGATGAGACTCGTAATTCAAACATCCAATCTAAAATTATTTCCACTTCAGGTATAGCTTCTCAATTGACGATGAAGAGTTTTTCAGATGAGACTCGTAATTCAAGCATCCAATCTAAATTATTTCCACTTCAGGTAATATGATTACCTGCATATTTTCCTTTACTCTGAAAAGGCAGCCTTAAAATGGCTCCACACTTCATGTCTTATGATGGCTGGATCATCTTGTGCAACACCTCCAACTGAGACAGAATTGATTAAGTTCAAGTATTGTCTAGACTAGGCCATAATGTGAAAAAATCTATCTTCGAGCGCCTTTCAAAGCCCAATCTTGCTAGATTTTTGAAGCCAAAGCCACTCCAGTCTTTTGCTTAATTTCCACAAATCTCCTTTGAGGGTGGACCTTCTAGACCTATCATCATCTTCTAATGAGCCTTCCTCTGCTTTAAGATCAAGAAGATGCAAATCTTCTTCCACAACTTTTAGTTGGTTAGCAAGATTCCCAAAGCACTCCATGTTCCAAGCCTTCAAAACTTTTTTTAAGCGATTTAACTTACTGAAAAGTCTGTTGCCAGCCCAAGCTTCAATTAGTGCTTCTTTCCATGATTTTTCAGCAAAAATCAGAAACTGTGGGTGCAACAGCCAACAGTTAAGAAACCTAAAAGGTTTTGGGCCTCAATCTCTCCTATCTTCCTTGCCAAGAACATGGCAATGGTCAGAGATGAGTTGAGGCAAGTTCATGGAATTTTGAACCTCAAAGTAGTTCGTGGAGTTTTGACCCTCAAATCTCTCCTTTGTAAGCACCCCAAGTCACAACTTCAAAATTTAGAGAAATGTGTCTAAACAGCATATAGAGTTAATCTTAATAATATCATTTCATTCTTGTACGTGTAAAATGCAGCTGTGGAACTACTGAAAACAGAACAAGTGAAGGCCATCATTGGGCCATTGACATCCATGCAAGCAAATTTTCTAATTCATCTTGGAGAAGAGGCTCATGTCCCCATTATTTCATTCTCTGCAACAAGTCCTTCCCTCTCTTATCTTCGAAGTCCATATTTTTTCCGAGCAGCTCTAAATGACTCATCTCAAGTACAACCCATAACGGCTATAATTCAAGCTTTTGGATGGAAAGAAGTTGTACCCATTTACACAGAAAATGAGTATGGAGAAGGTTTGATTCCATTTTTGACTGATACATTTCAAGAAAATGAAATTCGTGTTCTGTACAAAAGTACAATTCGTCCTGTGGCCAGTGATGAAGAAATTGTTGCAGAGCTTTACAAGCTGATGACTATGCAAACCCGGGTTTTTATAGTACACATGACTTGCTCTCTTAGCGCTCGCTTATTTACCAAAGCAAATGAAATTGGGATGATGAGTGAAGGGTATGTCTGGATCATAACTGATGGGATAACGAATTCCTGGAATTTTTTTGACCCTTCAACCGTCATCGACTCAATGCAAGGGGTGATTGGTGTACAACCACACGTTCCAAAAAGTAAAAAGCTTGAAGATTTTATTAGTAGGTGGAAAAACAAAACGCACCAAGAGAAAACTACTAGTGATCTAAATGTTTTTGGGTTATGGGCATACGATGCGGCCGCAGCACTGGCAATGGCTGTTGAGAAAGTTGGCCCGTTGAATTTGAGCATTTCCAACATTGCAAAAAATTCAACCACTGACTTTGGAAGTGTTGGGGTGTCTCAAAATGGTATTCATCTTTGTCAAGCTCTTTCAAGCACTAGATTTAGAGGACTTAGTGGAAATTTCAGCTTTGTTGATGGGCAACTGCAATCGTCTGCTTTTGAGATTGTGAATGTGATCGGAAATGGGCCGAGAGGGATCGGATTATGGACGCCGGAACATGGAATTGTAAGACAATTAAAGTTTGATGCAGTAAATACGAGTTACAAGGATTACTCAACATCTCAGGCCAACCTTAAAGCTATTATATGGCCAGGTGATATACTAACTTATGAATTTTTTCCATTTATAACAGCTATTCCTCGACTACTTCCATTTTTTTTTCCTGTTATAATAACAAAGCTATATGCATAGATAGAATTAAAACATAGACAGGAAATGAATTGTGTGATTCAAATTTATTTAAGTATCACTTATTGTAACATTTAAAACAAATCTCAATGACATTATAATTTTTTATATTTTAATTATGTACAATAATTATTTCTCTTTTGATACTCTTCCACACTACTTCCATTTTATTACAAGGCTTCCTTTGTTCCGTTAAGGGGATTTACAGGCCAATTCTATTGACTTGATTTATTTACTTCCAAGTTAAGCTCATTTTTTCACTTATTAATATCTTTAAAAAGCGTTGAGGTCAAACAAATATTTTAAGGCTTATTGGTGCATCAAAAAAATGTACAAGATTTATAATTATTTAAGTCTATCATATAGGATTGACTCATAATTTAACTTCTATCCATTTAAAGGTCAAGTTGAAACAACCGGGTTCATACTATGCCCACTTCGTTTATCTGAATGGTTCATATTCTTGGTCTTGCCGCGTATCTAAAAATTAAATTGAGCAAACATTAGTAGTCATATGGTTGGATCATCTGTGTTTAAAAAAAAAAATTAATGATTTACTCAGTAAATCATACAATATGAACAACTTGAATTATCGAATTGAGCCCAAGGTGAGCTGAAAATTGCCTCAACTGGATTCTATAAACTGAAAAAAAGCCTATTCCAATAAATTATTACTTCTTTTTTTTGGGGGGGGGATTCATTTTGATTACTCTTTCACACACTTTTCATTTTATTAAAAACAATAATGTTACACTAATTATACTTTTATACCATATTATCACAATAAAAAATTAAAGTTTTAGAGACCAAAATTTAGGGACAATTATTTTTTAAGGACCAAATATTTTTGTTACGAAAAGTGTCGTTATTATATTTTTGGCAATGAAAATTGGACATTAGTGATGAATTATTACCTTTTCGGGACCAAATTTTTTGTCTAAAAAAATAAACCATTTTGAAACCAAATTATTTTGTTCCTAAAAGTGTATTTATTAATAACATTTTTTAAATTTTGTCGCTAAAAATCTTATTTTTTACTTTTTGACCTGTATAGGGTGAGCTATCTAACGCGGATAGAAATTGGTGTCTAAATATCTTTTGCAACAAAATTTTTACTTTTAGAGATCAAAAAATTAGTTTCTAAAACTCTTATATATTGTAGTGTATACTATCATTTTATCGGTCAACATAACATTAGTGTAATGGTCTAACTATTCATGTATACCTCCAATTCAGTGACAATAAGTAAAGTGACAAATTAAACAAGAAAATGAGATGGTAGAAATAAATTACTCATTGTAGCATTATTTTATTGAAAAAGGGTCTGTATTTTAATTTTAATTTTAATTTTTTTCGGAGTTTTGAAGGTGATACTACATATACTCCAAAGGGATGGGTGGTGCCAACAAATGGAAAGGTGTTGAGAGTGGCAGTTCCAGTGAAGACTTTTTATTCTGATTTTGTGAGGGTGTCGAGAGATCCTATCACTAACAGGACGATGGTCACTGGGTACTGTATAGACGTTTTCGAAGCTGTAATGGCGGCACTACCGTATTCGGTTCCGTACGAGTACATTCCCTTTGAAAAGCCTTATGGAGAGCAGGGGGGTTTTGACATCTTGCTGCACCAACTTTTCCTTGGGGTAGGTTAATTAAACACCCCTTCCCACTATAATTTATAAACTATTTTAATTATTTTTTTTTTCCAATTTAATGTGTTTTTCTACGTCTACATAATTCGATCCTTGAACATTACTTTGGGTTTCTCCTCTTTATGTTTGGCCATTTTCTTACTTTAATCTTTAAAGTTTATTTTTTTTCAATGACTCTTGTTTCAAGTTTTTCCTTATTTATTCCTTAAATTAATTTCTATTCGAAATTAATCAAAAAATATTACGTTAATTACTACATAACATAAAATATATATTATTATATTGCAGTTTATATTTGTATCAGGAGTGTGAGTTATAAATAATAAAATATTTTTATATCACGTGATTATTAATATGTCATTTTTTATATAATTTTAAACATGAATTAGCTTTTGCAATAAATTGAAAAATTTTGAAACATAAAAGGTCAAAGTGAAAAAAAAAAAAATTAAAAGCCAAAATAAAAAAATAATCAAATATAAAAAGAACAAAATATAATTTATCGACATAATTCTCATATATGGGATGCGATTACATCTCAACTGAAAGGGTTGTGTTGGATTATCAAATCTTACTTTAATCTTTAAAGTTTATTTTTTTTCAATGACTCTTGTTTCAAGTTTTTCCTTATTTATTCCTTAAATTAATTTCTATTCGAAATTAATCAAAAAATATTACGTTAATTACTACATAACATAAAATATATATTATTATATTGCAGTTTATATTTGTATCAGGAGTGTGAGTTATAAATAATAAAATATTTTTATATCACGTGATTATTAATATGTCATTTTTTATATAATTTTAAACATGAATTAGCTTTTGCAATAAATTGAAAAATTTTGAAACATAAAAGGCCAAAGTGAAAAAAAAAAAATTAAAAGCCAAAATAAAAAAATAATCAAATATAAAAAGAACAAAATATAATTTATCGACATAATTCTCCTATATGGGATGCGATTACATCTCAACTGAAAGGGTTGTGTTGGATTATCAAATTCTATACACTTATAACTATTCTTTTTTTATTATTATTATAAAAGGGCTGCAACAAAATATATTACTGTAACTCTTCCATGCTATATATATTATTAGAAGGAATATTTTACCAATACGTATGAGGTGGAAAAGGTTGGGATGATTGTCAGACGTGGTGGTGTGGTGGCGACAGAAGAAGAGAAGATGAAAAATAGATTTAATTTTTTTTGATAACTTAATTTAGGCGTATAATGGTATTTACAAATAATAATAATAATTTTTTTTAAATCATGACTTATTTGTATTTTACTTTATGAATTTCAAAACTCAACAATCCACTATTTTAAAGTATTATTTTGTTACACTTTTTTTTTTATCAATAAAAAGAAAGCACTTGTTACACTTGACACTTTCATCAGAATTTTGTTAGAGATTTGAACAAAATCATGTCATGTGTGAAGTATATGACACAACTTATTATTTTTTTAGAACAATAATATTTTTTTTTGGTGATCTCATTTGAAATTACTAAATAAGGGCATTCTTATGATTATAATTTATAAATATGTCACTTTTTTGGTTTTTTTGTTTGATGAACAGAAATTTGATGTTGTGGTTGGAGATGTTACTATTAGGGAAAACAGATCCAATTACGTGGACTTTACATTCCCATACACTGAATCTGGTGTGACAATGATCGTGCCTTTTAAAGATAAGAAGAATTACAAAACTGCATGGGTTTTTTTGAAGCCATTGACTTGGGATCTATGGGTGACAAGTACTTGTTTCTTTGTGTTCATTGGTTTTGTGATTTTGATCCTTGAACGTCAAATTAATGAAGATTTTAATGGGACTCCTCTGCGACAAGTCAGCAACAGTGTCTGGTTCTCTTTCTCAACCATGGTTTTCTCTCACAGTAATTCCCTCTCTTCCTTCTCTTTACTGCATTTGCATATCATTGTATAAAGAGCTTGAAGCCACAAAACACTAGAAAAAATATTATAGCAGCAGTTTGTCTCATCACAACTACAAATTAGTTGTCTAGAATTTATGGATTGTTTATCCAACAAGAGTTAAAACATTAAGAAACCAATTCCATATGGTCATGCATTGTCCATGCAAGCAAGACAAAACATAACATTTCGGGTATGCTTCCATCTTCAACTTGTAAAAAGAAAGGAAAAGTAACAAAATTGTAATTTTTACTTTTGTTATTTTCCTTTCCTCTTTTCTTTTTCCTTCCCAAATTTCTACTCGATTATTTAGAGGACTAAAAAATTTAACCACATCAAATTGATGATACTTATGAATATTGGGAAGAAGAACACAAACAAAGATAGAGACAAATATACAATCACACAAGACATCAAATATTACGTGATTCAACGGAGCCAACATTGAGGGACAATCCCACAAACTATAATTGTCACCATCAAAAAGAAGGAATACTTATAGAGCTATAAGTATTATAAACCCAAGAGGTATTTCAACATAATAACTTATATTTATAGCACAATTCTCAAATTAATTCAGTTTCTTTACAATCCAATTCAAAACTAATAAGGAAGCTTGTAAAATTGAGTAAAATAGATCTTTCTACAAATCTTTATTCAATTAAGAAATAAGATTCATCAAAACTAAATTAATTTGAGAGTGGACAACGAGTAAAAAATTAACAAGAATAATTTGCTTCTATACCACTATCACCCACATCCTTCTATACTCTGCCTCGTGGTCCTATTTCAGTCTAACAATGGTGATTCAAACTGTTCATCTCGTAGACACAGTAGTAAAGATGACTTGTGCAGAAAATCAATTTCGTTAGATATCACTAGACATATGACAAAATTACATTCTATTTTTTAAGATGAACAACGATTATGAGTTTATAAAACAAAATGTGATTTTTTTATTTGTTCATTGATATCACAAATAGTCTTCGCTACAAAAATTATGAGATTAATAGTTCGGATCATCATCGTGGATCCAAAAAGAGACTCACAAATTAAAGTATTAAAGAATATGAAAAATAGTAATATGGAGGGGAGGCATTTCCAAAACTAACATATTCAAATCTAAAATTTGAACATAATCTGTATGATTGAAATTCCATGATATACTAACAAGAAACTGAATGTTGTATTGGATGAATCAATTAACAAGAGATTACAGATATTTATATCAAACTCTAACTTACTAATCCCCTTTCTCTATTACACCTGTACTTGTACAAGCCTGTCATTGATCTTAAATCTAGACTAGCTACTCTTGATGCCTTACATGTGCAATTCACTTGCACACACTTGTGTTGAGGCTGCAGCCCTTGGTTGAGCTGCTTGAACTTAGACTGCTGTTGGTGCTGCAGCTACGCATTAATACTCTGATCATATACCCACAGCATCACAACCCAAGAGTTTGAATGCTTTCTTGGTCAGTCATATATAACAATAATAATGGTCTCAAATCCATTTTAATAGTAATGTTAGCCTTTAAGAATGCTTTCTAAGTTTGTTTATTTGTTTTTTCTATTTATTCTAATTACCAAAATAACATTTATTACAGAGGAGAAAGTAGTAAGTAACTTGGCGAGGTTTGTGGTGATCATATGGTGTTTCGTGGTCTTAATTCTGACTCAAAGTTACACAGCTAGCTTAACCTCACTATTGACAGTTCATCAACTTGAACCATCTATTACTGATGTGCAAGAGCTTATAAATAAAGGGCAATCAGTTGGTTATCCAAAAGTCTCATTTATTCATGATATCTTGAAACGAATGAATTTCAGTGATTCTCAGCTTAAGGGCTATAATACCGTGGAAGGAGAATTGGATGCCGCTCTCTCGAATCGGAGTATAGTTGCAGCTTTCGATGAAATTCCTTACTTGAAACTCTTTACTGGAAGACATTGCTCAAAATATACCATGGTTGCACCAACCCACAAGACTGGCGGCTTTGGCTTTGTATATTCTCTCTCTCTCTCTCACATTCATGGTTTTAAATTTTGGCAACTGTCTGATACAAATTGGGTAATGCATACTGTATTGGCCAATACATATCAGGTTATTGATCTCTTCGATACCATTATTTAAGTCTTGTAATCACAATCTAATCTATGCAGATGATTTAGTTACTATCACGATGTTAAATAGGGGTATCGGGAGAAATATCAATACTAGTAGTAGTATAATAATATCAGAAATATCATATGATACCTATTAGAAATTAAGTGATGTGGTTGTAAATTTTTTAAAATCATCTAATCAACTCGTAAACTGGCTGGAAATCAATAGAAAATGGTCAATACACGTTATTTTTGTTACAACTAATATATTGAGCATATCAATACCAGAATATCAAAATTTTGATACTCATTTCAACCAATATTACAACAAATGGCATTTTTGGCAATGCATTAAATCGTTGTCAAATATCAAAAAATTGTCGCAAATGATTATAAAAAACTTACGACTGTATCACCTAATGTATTTTGCTCGATATTACCGATTCATCTATTTAAGACCTTTGTCTCATCTTGTGCATATATATATTTCTTCTCGCCTAACCTTTTTATAATACCTTGATTGATTTTTAACTTTACTAGGCGTTTCGTAAAGGTTCCCATTTAGTACGTGATGTATCAACAGCAATCTTGCATGTGATTGAAGAAGATAAAATGTCTGAAATTGAAAAAAAGTGGTTGCAGAATAACAGTTGTCCAGACTCTAGCAGTACGGTGTCTTCCAGTAGCCTGAGTGTCCATAGTTTTTGGGGACTATTTCTCATAGTTGGAGTTGCTGCTTCTTTTGCTCTCATTATATTTATGGCTATGTTGGCTTATGAGCACAGGAGTTTCTTGGTGCACTTGGATCTCAAATATTTGTGGAGGAAGTACATTCTCAAGCATGAAGACACTGTCACTGCCATTGACACTCACCAAGATCAGGCAAGTCCATCATCATCACCCTTGTCAATCGCTCCATCACCACCTACTCAACAGTCTCCCGCTCGATCAACTGTTTCAGATGACACCGATGAGGCTTTTACTCATTTTGAAGGAGAAGTGGCCGAATCTCAAAACCCAAGACACTAAGAAATCATTATTTATATCACAAATGAAAATAGTTGATGAATTATTGTGTATTACCAATCTGAAAAAAAAAATAAAAAAACATCATCCTTTTTATTTCATAGATAAGTAATGAAGCACTTGTGTTTAAATTTTAAATAAAATTTCTTAATCTGAATGACTTTCAAAAAATTTATGTTGAAAAAGTTATCGGACTGATTGAGAAATGATAGTAGGCATTTACGCTATTGAGCTTGTTAATAAAATTCATAAAAGAGTTAAGTATATATATATATATGTATATTATGAGTTTTGTATTTGTTCTTGTTACTTAATTCTTATTCATCCTGGTACCCTACATACCTTCAATTAATAATGTACCATCAATCCAATTCAAGAATAAAAGAGTTATATTTCATTTTCCTTCAAAAAAGAGGATCATAATAATGATTGCTTAAAAGTTTTTTAATTTATTATATTTGATCTTTTTTACTTGTGAAAAATTACTTTGGCTTGTTTTGAGAAATAAGAAAAAAAGTCAATTTATTGACTTATTAATTTATTTGGGTCATATTATCTGTTTTTTTTTTTAAAATTAATAAATTAACTTTTTTCTTACTTCCCAAAACAAGCCTTCATTTCTATGCTGATTATCTAAATAAGTATATTTTTTTATTATTTACAAAAAGATGTACAAAAAAGTAAAGAAATAAATTGACTCATATAAATACACTTATTTAATTTATGTTAAGTAGTAATTAATATTGTCAAATCACCAAATTATTTGCATGGTACAATGCACCACTATTCTATTATCCATAAACCATGTATAGTTAGGAGTGTAAAAATGGCTTGCGGCCTGTGGGCTGCTCGAAACCTGCTCGCAGCTCAGGATGGCCAGGCCCAGTTATGCCTAGGCCTGAGTCCAGTCCGAGATCCTGAGCTTAGGCCGTCATTTTGGAGCCTGGCCCATCGGCCCGCTCCCGATCCACTCAAAGCCCGGCCTAAGACCCAGTGTCATTTTTAATGGAAAATAATAAAATATTGGTGAAAAAAATTTTAAAAAACAAAAAAAATGTTTAGGTCCACCCAAGGCCCAAATACCCTCTAGTCCTGGGCCTAATTTTCTGGCTTGTGGGCCGGCCCGACCCGGCCCAAATTTTGGAAGGAGCACGTAAGGCCCAACATAGGCCGGGCCGGGCTGGGCCAAATTTACACCCTTATGTATAGTCTTAGCGTCAGTTTGGGATATGGGTTGGTTTTTTAATTTTTTGGTTTTTTCACTATTTTAACCTAGGGCTAAACAGTCTCGTTTGGGGTAGACTTTTGACTTTTTTAATTTTTTGAGAAAAAAGTGAAATAATTATTGGTTTAGATATGACATTTTCTCTTATTAACTTTTCAACCTATTTTCTCTTTTTATGACTATTTTAGCCTCGTAACCTTATGCCAAATGAGTTCTTATTATTTGTTTGGGTAAAGGCTATGTGACTAAAATAGTTGATAAAAACAAAATAAATTAAAATAATTAATATGACAAAATATCACATTTAATTCATAATTATTTTACTTTTTCTTTCACAATCATCAAAAAAAAAAAAATCAATTATCATTCCAAACATGACTTTTTTAGCTAAACTAAAATAGTAAAAAAAAAACTAGGTCTCTTTTGAGAACAAATTATTTTAATAACTTTTTAGCTTTTTATAAAAAAAAATGTGCAAAAAAATAGACAGTGATATGACAACTTATAGTGAATTTTTGACATTTTAGCTAAAATGTTTAGTACCCAAACGAGGCCAACTAATTAAAATAATTTATTGCCAAACAGAGCCTATGAGAATAAATCTAGTTATTTATTAGGAGAACTACATAGAGGTAAAAGAAAGGGAAAAAATTACAAACATATGGAGGTGCAAATATGTATGTGATTGGATGGAAATGGAAGACTGTGTAAGTATCACTTACACCTCTCCATGCGTTAATAATTTTTTTTCTCTTCTCTCACTTGCATATAGTTACCCCTATTTATTACATTCCAACTTGCCAAACAAGCCTCGTGCATCTGCACGCGGTTGTGCTGCTGTCATCCTTTATGTAGTCATGTCCTGTCACTTAGGTGGCACAATAACAGGTCAACACATGTTTTTAATTGCCCCACTAATAACTTGGAAAAAAAAAAGGAAGAACATCACTACGCGTCTTTCAATGCACTAACAGCCTACTTCTATTCCATAACTTTATATTATGGGCAAAATATAAATTAGTTATATTGGGTAGCTCGAATTTTTGTTGCTCCAAATGGCTCGAATGTAATTACAAGATTATAAATTAAAGAAAGAAAAGAGGGAGGAGAGAGAGAAACCCTCAGTAACCATGCGTGAAACCCACCGTTTATAAAACAAAGAAAGATGGGAGAGAGAGAGAGAGAGAGAGGAACACAATTTTGGAACCTAGCGTCGACCAACTAACCTAGTTGTTCACTGATGACAACGACGACCATCGACTTAGGTGTTCACCGACGACCGCCGCTGACCATCAACCTGGGTAGATCGCCGTCTACCTCTCGTTGGAATCTCTACTTCCAATGATGTTGCACACTCATACATGGACTATATGACTGCGCTTGTGTTTGGAAGTTCTCTCTCTCTCTCTCTCTCAATCCCAGTTGTGAAGGAGCTTGGAATTTCACAGACTTGTGAAGGAAATGCAGTACATAAGATTGTTAAAAGACAAATTGATCTCGAGAAGATTGAGGTAGTTAGAAACTAATAATGGAATCAAAGAGAAATATACTTTGTTTTGCTACAATTTTTTAACACACAATTGGTTTCTTAGTTCAAATGCCCTTTTTTTTATTTTGTGATAGAACATTCAAATCCATACCCATTAATACATTTAGATTCATTTATCCTTCGAATTCAAATCCAAACCCAAAAACCTTTTGTCTTCTTCTCCTTTCTTGCACTCATCATTCATACACTTAGCCTCCGTTTGGCAAGTTGGTTTTGAGGTTTTTTGGGCTAAAATAACCACAAAAAACAAAATAGGATTTTTAGCTCAATAAGACAAAACATTACATCCAATCTATAATTATTATATTCTTTCTCTCACAAAAAAGTCAAAAAAGCCAAAAGCCCTTTTCAAATCAGGCTTTTTAACCCCAGGCTAAAATAGCCAAAAAAGCCAAAAAGTCAACCCACTTTCCAAGTGAACCCATAAATAGATATATATATATAGATATAAAGAGAGAAGATGAGAGGTGAATTTGCACCAAACCCAGAAATTCCAACAACCTCTACATCCTCACACCACTCCCTTCGTCTCTATTCTGAGAGAACCCAATAGAGACGGAGGAAGGGAGGGCTCTGACGTCGAAGAGGAAGCTACTAGTTTGTGGGCTTCGGCAGCTCCAGCGTCGATTTGATAAAGACAAAGTTGTTTGAGATAGAGAGAGAGCAAGAGAGGCTTGAGGTAGTGCCTGCGTCTTAGATGAGGAAGAGATGAGAAAAAAAGGGTTTCACATTTGAAAGGAGGAAGATTTCAGAGACTTTGGGTCTGAAAGAGAGAGATAAAGAAGAGAAAAAGTGAAATGATTATGGTTTGAATGTAACATTTTATCTTATTGACTTTTTAATCTATTTTGTCTATTTGTGACTATTTTAACCTTTTAGTCCCGAAAACCGTTATGCCAAACGAGGGCTCACTAGTCTTCAACTTCTAACAAGTGAAAATAATTTTTTCTATTTACTTGAATTTACGCTGTAAAATATTTTATACTCAAAAATATTTTCACGTATTTAATTTTGGGTTTTTTTTTTAGTCCCGTTTGGTTTAGTTTTGAAATTATAATTCTAATTAAAAATTTTCAAAAGTCTTTTCGAAACTCATAACCAAACACACAACTCAAAATTCAATTCAAAACTTTTTTCAAAACTCATAACCAAATTCTTTTCAAACCTCTATTTTAAAAATAAAAAAAAAATTAAATATCTTTTTATTTTGTTTTTTAAAATTATACTTAGAATCATGATTTAGAATAATGATTTGAGTGTGGAATTGTATTTTGAGTTTGAGTTTTGAGTTGAGTTTTAAAAAGAGAAAATTTATTTGGTTATGAATTTTAAAAATAGTTTTGAGTTGTATTTTTTTTAAAGGATTAATTACCTAAAAGTCCTATCTACATATTTGGTGGTAGCTTAGGTCCTATCAAAAATTTTTTGAACCAATAAGTCCCATTTAGAGGTAAAAAGACGTATTGTCCTTTAATCTCAAAACTGAGAATGTTCTCAATTTATAATTATCAAAACTAAGAAATTTCTCAATTTTTTTCTAGTGTGAACTGAGATTATTATTAAAACTAAGAAATTTATGATTATCAATTTTGAGAAATTTCTCAATTTTTTTTATGATTAAAATTGAGAATATTATAAACTGAGAAGGTTCTCAATTTCAAAAAACGACTATGATTGAGTTGATTCGAACTTCATCACGAGTCTTGGAGTTGAGATTTTGCATATTTTGAACCACAGTTGTTGGTTAGAACTTGAAATCGAGCATCGTGAATGCAAATCTAGAATGAAAAACAAATTTCGTGAGTTCAAATTTAAGGAGAAATTGAACTTTGCAAACTCAGATATGAGGGAAAATCGATTTTTTTACATCAAATCAACTTCAACCTGAAGTTCTAGTTGCGATCCGAACATGAATATGAAACCCTAGATGAGATCTGAACTTGATTCGAAAGTCTTGGGTGAGATTCAAATACCAAATCTGGAAACAATGTGACTCTTGAGTTGCGAAGGTCTTGGGTGAGGTCAAAAACTCGATTCGAATACCAGATCTGGGAGCAGTGTGACTCTTGAGTTGCGATTTCAATTCAATTGTTCTTTCCAAGGTTTGTTGATCCTAGTTCTTGAAGACCAGGGATGTAGGGGTGGCCGAAATAGAGGGTCGGTTGCAAATATGGGTGAAGATACTATGATGATTATCTCACATGGAAGGAGGAAAATGATGTAAGTTTGTTGGAAAGGTAAATTGGTCTATTAAAAATTAATGGGACCTGAAGGAGCAAATAATTTTATTTAGGACTTAGTGGATTATAAGTTTACAAAATGGGACTTGTATGTAAATGGCCCTTTTTTTTTTAATGTGCACTGTATTTCATACAATTATGCATTGTATTTTTTTTA